ACTTACTTGTGTGGCTTCCAGTGTTGTCAAATACGTTAATGCACTGCTCTGAAACAATCCAGAGGAGTATTTAGATTTTCTTATGCCTGCATTCCTAGAAGACTAAAGTGTGCCTGAGACAAAAAAAAATATTTACCTTGGTTTATCAGATGTATTGTAATAAGATATTATTTATCAATTATTCACAAGCAATTGAATCCCCTGTATCCAATTTATTACCTGCAAACAATTATAGATAAAAGTGTCATGTCATCAAACCAAAACACTGCTTTAAAACTGCCAAATAAGTAGCATCTCTGCAGAAGCTGGCCACATGATATGTGTATCTATATTTTTTAAACATTTCTTAAAACCAGTATACAAACTTTGCTTTTCAGGCTGATTTACATTCTGTGTCCACATAAATTCTGAACTGTCAGCCATAGGAAAATCAAAGGAAAAGGATTTAAGATTCCTGAGAGTGACTGCCTATCTTTACCCAAAATCTTGTAGATAAATATCGTGTTAAGCATAGGCAGAACATGAACTCTACTCTTGGTTAAATTTTTCCAAGTATTTCTTGGGTACAGTATCTAGGAAAGGCACGTAAAGGTTTCCACAACTAGCTTCCAAATACCCTTAAATATTTCAAATACCCTTAAATTTGTACGATTAGTCTAAACAGAGTGTACAAATGGGATTCACAAGGTGACGACGTTTCTAGCAGCAGCTGCAGCAACCACCTTTCCTGCTTTTCCAGAGGGTAGGTATTAGCACGCTGTGCAGACCACAGCCAGCTTGCTGTGGCTGCCTGCAGCTTCAAAGGTAGTACGTTCCAGCACTGCAAGATCTTTTTTTTTTCCCCCCTTTCATCGCTATTGCGGTCCCAACATGAAAGAAAAAGGGCTGACACCACTCAATCCCGTGTGACACCTGACACCTATGCAAAGATGGAAAAAAGTTATTTCATGATGTGTGAGCGAAAGTGACACCTCCTCAGTTTTACAGCGCTGTGAATCACAGTCTTCTCTTTTCTACCCTATTTTGGTTCGTTTCATCCACATAAAGTTAAAGTCAATAATACAGTATTCAGTAATAGAGGAATAAAACAAGAATATGCATAGTAATGTGGTGGAGACAGGCCACCTCTTACTTGAATAAATTATTTTCATCTATTAAAGAGTCTTCATTTTTAGGATGTTCAGACGAAAGTAATGGAGCCAAACGTGTACAGTATTCGATATAATACCGCTGTGTTTGATGTGACGATGTCAGCACCAGGATGAAGTTCAGCTGAGCGCACACTCACAAATAGGAACCAGTGTGCCTAGAGAGCAATGAGATCAGCTGTTTCTAATGCCATTAAAACTCCAATTTCGTAATTTCTAGTTTAATTTTAGATACAACCCCTCCCCTCACTGAACACCCCCACCACCCTGACTCCTGAGAGCGCAGCAGGTCCTGCGAACTCCGGGAAAGGCGCCTCCTTGGCGGAGACACCTCCCGTCCCCGCCCCAGCACCGAGCAGCAGGAGCGGCGGCACGGCCGGTTCCCTTCCCGGGCGGGCCGGGGCCGGCGGGGCCCGGCTGCCCGCACCTGACATGGCGGCCGCGGGCCCCTCCCGCGCTGGCGGCGACGGCTTCCGGCGGAGCCCTCCTGCCTTCAACAAAGATGGTGCTGCCCGCGCAAGCTCCGCGGGCGCCGGCGCGTCCCGGGTAGCTTCCCGCTCCCCTCGTGTAAGTACGGGGCGGGTGCGGTGGGTGCTCCCCGCACACAGCTCGCTCGTCCTCACGGGCGCTGTTGACGGCTCCACTTGGTTCGTCCCATCCCACCCTAGGCGCCGCCGAGGGGGAAGCAGGAGAGCGGTGCCGTAGAGCCGTTCGGCGGCGCTCCCGGCGCTGCGGGGCCGGGGCAGGGGCCGGGCTTCCGCGGGGAGGCCGGGCCGGGTCGGCGGGGCCGCCTCCACTGCCGCAGCGCTGCCCGGCGGGAGGCCGGGACGGGAGGAATGCCGGGAGGCTGCTGCTGCCTGAGAGGCACGGGCCGGCGTGTGGGCAGCTGGCTCCCGGCTGTTACCGAAGCAGCAGCTGCCAGACCTCGGCAGGGAAGACGTTAAAAGCAAAACTTGCTGGGTTTTTTTTTTTTTCTTTTTTTTTTTTTTTTTTTCCTGGCGGGATGGGAGGGATGTGTAAAACTTTTGACCCGTAGCCTTGCTGTGAGTAGCCAGGAATAATTCATGGGTTAGGCAGGTGAGTGCAGTTGGCGTTCCGGAAAACGGTGAAATGTTTCTAGCAAGAAAAGCGAGTGAATGTGCCTTTTTAGTGTCAGAAGGGGTACTTATCAAAAGTTTTATCCCCATTCATGGACAGTTACTCTGTCAGAGCCAGAAAAATGCAAACCTGCTAGTGTTGGTGTGGTGATGAGTCAAGGACTGTGCTCATTCAGCAGGTCGTGTGCTATATTTCTTAAAATTTGCCTTTATAATGGAAAAGATCCATTTTCAGAAGTATCTGGGGAATGTTTGAGTGATCTTTTGGGTAAATGGGCATCTCGTATTTTTCATTTTCTGTAAAATTACTTGACTAAATTTAATTCAGAGCTTACTTTGAATCTCTAGATACAGGCTGTGATTAAAATGAATTTGTTAATTCTGTGTTGTGCTAAAGCTGTTGCACTCTGTCCCAACATTGTTACACATCAAAATCCTGATACATTTCCATATCTAGCTGCTTAGTTCCTAACTCAGACATTTGATTCTCAGCAGCAAACACACACAGAGAAATACTTCATCTTTAGAAAGACCTTAGAAATCAGTATGCCCCATCCTGGAAGTTTACCAGGCTGGTGCCAGGACTTTAAACCCTCAGTTGTGTGTGTTCTGCAGTCCGCAAGGCAAAGGGCTTTTGCAGCAGAAATTATCCCTTCTGATTCCTGGCTTGATAGGCATTTCTCAATGCCCAAAGGTGCAAACCTTTGGCTTGTAAGAGCTTTTATTTTTTGAAAATTGTTGGCTGCTTTGGTCAGGAGGAAGATGAATTCATCAAGTTCTGTACAGTCATCCAGCATGTGAGGAGGCTCCTGAATAGGGACTCTCAGGGCCCATTCAGAATGTGAAGCACAAAAATTTTGTAGTATCTGAAACAGTTTTCTGCCTGGGTTGAGGTGATACCCTCAGAGGTGCTGCTGGATGCCTTTCCTGAAGTCTGCAAGTGCTTTGTGAGCTCAAGGATGTTCTCCTAGAAGAAAGAAGTGGTAGGATTTACTGCCTGAATTTTGCTCTAGTCCAGAGGTTGCTTTCTGTAGTGTAAAGGTACTATATGTTGGAGATCAGAATCTTCAACTTCACCTGTCCAAAATTAGCATTCTAACATCAAGTGGGAAAATCCAGTTCTCTTTCTTGCCTGCTCTTTTTCTGTCTCCTAGCTTGCACTACTGTCTCAGTCCATGATGGAGTTTGATGTTTGAACTGTGCTTGGCAAGCTAGGGCACATGGGCTGGCATAGCAGTGTTTGATTCCCACATGATCCCTAGACAGTAAGCACCTTGAAATTCACGTCAGTAAAGGAGAAATGCACTGGGTAGCCCAGGAAAGATGGAGTCCTCCAGGAAGATGCTTTCCAGCAGTGCTTTTGGCACTTGATGGAAGCATTTTTGGAAAGTAGCTTTGTCAGAGAATGCTACAGACAGGGTTTTCCAGTCTCTCCCTCGTGACACTGTGCTCTTGCATTCTGTCCAAGGTGCTGTTTACATGCCAACATGTTCTGTTGGTCATCCTCCTGGATTTAACAACCAGGCCAACCACAGAATCTTTGATGGGGCCCTGGGAGTCAGCAGGCACCTCTGATGGTAAAAAGACTTCATCAGGTTTCATGCAAAAGCTTTGAAAAATCTGTCTCTCCTTGCATCCTCAAGCGGAATGAAGTAGAGTTTCTGCAGGGTCTAGCGGTTCAAACAGCAGTGTCCAGTTTAATTGTGAGAAACCCTCTTGGTAATCACACAAAACTGGCTGCCATTTTTTGACTTTATTATTTAGTAACAAGAAAGTATTTAATTCTGTTGTCCTTTTTCAAGTGCCATTAATAAGCCCAGGGACATGTTTGTCGTTAAGGACTTGACTAGACACTTTGATTTGGTTCGGAGGTCTGGCATGGACTGCTGATTTGATATTGGATGAGCTGCTTGGTCTCTCTGGACCCTGATTATTCTTTTGTAGAGTGGCTATAAATGCATCTTTTTCAGCTTTTGTCTAGTCAGAGTTCGTCAAGTGAAATGGAAGCTGGCAGAGGGCATCTGATCACTTCCTGTGAGCACATTAGAAGAGAGGGAGAAGAGCTGTTTAAGCTAAGGGACAGTTTTGGCAGAAGAAATGCCTATAAATAGAAGGGGATAAATCTGAGGTGGAAATTCAAAGAAAATTTCTTCTCATCAGAACAGTTGAGTTCCAGAGCAGTCTTCCAGGATGATTCAAGGGTGAGAACAACCCTTAAGGTACTTTCAACCCCTCCTAAACTTGAATTGCATCTTGTAGGCCAAAGCTACCTGCTGATTCTGTCCCTGCTGCTGCTTCTGCCTGGCTGAGATGAATCTACCAGTTCTGCTGCTGCTTTTGTAATTGTATCAGTGGTCAGGTGTGATATCTCTTTCATTTTGAAGGGCCTACTGTCTCTTAAGTTCTGGCAAGTGCTCTAGCTGCCTTTAGTATGGACCTAAATCAGCAGGATTATTTGGCATGGGTTTCACTCCAGTAAAGGACTGGTCTCTGCAATGCCAAATGTTCTATTCCTGTCTAGTATTTCCCAGAAACTGGATCATTTTGCCTTGTGAGACAGTGAAATCTGAGTGGAAAGAAGATGATGGGGATCATTAGTAGTTTTGCCAGGTTGGTGATTATGAGTTTGGAGTTTTCTCTGAAGGTTGACAAGTGTCAGACATCACTTTTGGATGTTCAAATATCACTTCTGGATGTTAAAGGTTGAAGTATTTTAATCTTCATGCGTTTCCTTACTCTTTTTCTCACACTCTAGGTTACCAGATGGATGCCAGAGACAAGCAGCTTTTACGCTCCCTGCGCCTGGAGCTCTGCACAGAGGTGCTGGTGGATGGACTCGTTATTCAGTATCTCTACCAAGAAGGGATTCTCACAGACAGTCATGTTCAAGAAATAAAAGCCCAAACCACTAGTCAGAGGAAAACCATGATGCTTCTTGATATTCTCCCCACCAGAGGACCCAAAGCTTTTGATGTGTTCTTGGATTCCTTACAGGAGTTCCCGTGGGTTAAGGACAAGCTGATGCAGAAGCGTAAGGAAATGACAATACAAGATCCTTCAGGTAAGGCCAGGGTTCCTGTTGTTGCTATTTTGAAGCTTGTTCTCAAGCCATAATTTCAAAAGTATTGAATGTATCAGTAATTTCAAGTTATGTGTCATGTAAACTCATGAGACCAAGAAAAGAGAATAGCCTGAATTTTCTGGAAGCTACTCAAACACCAGGAGATATTGCAAAGTGTGATGCAAGAGCAGGGCTGAGTTTCAGGAGACAAGGAGACAGCAGGAAAGGCTACCTTGGGTGAGGCTGGGATATAGGAGGACCCATAATCTATTGCCTCAAAGGGAATGGACTATAAAAAGTAATTTCGTCTAGCTGCAGAACAGTGTCTTTGCCATCCATATCTAATATTGTTTCATTTATGTATGTTTTACAGTGGTTTGTTCCTGAATCATTTATATTTACAGAGTTTTTATTTATTTACTTTTATTATTATTTTAATGTAATTTTTATTTAGTACTATGTGCTAATTTAGATTTAGTTAGTTTATTATATTTAGTGGAGTGCAAATACGTAGGATCATTACTTGCAAAATTACTAGCCGTTGCTTATTTTTGAAACAAATTTAGAAGCTGCTTATTTAGTACAATCTGTGGGTTTTTGGCATTTAAATATACTTCTAAAACTGGTTTTCTAGGCTAGATGTTTGTTCAGATGTGATTTCTTTACCGATCTATGCATGCAATTGATGAGCTGAGCTGTTTTGAAGTCAAGACAACTGCTTTAAATGCACATTTCTTGTCCCAGATTCTCACAGCATGCACTGGCTGCTAACCTCATATTACCAGCGAGGTAGTGAAATAGTCCTCACTTGGGAACATTATTTCCAAGCAGTCTGATTAATCTTTCTCCAAGCCCTTCCCTCCTGCTGTACCCCCATTTGAATTTGGTTATACATATTTTGATGCACATGACATGTGATTTTTCCAGTGTCAGTGTGCTTTGCGTGAGACTGAAAGCCTGTGAAGAAGGGTGGCTAAGACCTGTTGACCATCATGTTCACCTGCATCTTGTTAGCTGCATGTTCGAGAACATTTTGTCAAGATCTGCTGGACAAATCTGAGATTATTTTACCTTAGGACATTTTTAATGGAATATTCTGACAGCTGGTCTTTCTGTTGGTCTCTGTGTATGTTGCTGTGTGCCTGCTTGGAAATGAGTAAATAATTTCCAAAATTTGGGAATAAACATCCTATGCTGCCTACAGCATAATGCAAACCATGGCATTGAGTGTGTTGGAAAAGGCCTTGCTCACTTAAGTACTATCATGCTAGTGCTCTTTATTTGCCTTACAAATGAGCCTCTTCGTTTGATAATTGTTGCTAAAGCTGCTGAATAACCTTGTGTGTGTTCCAGACATACTCAGCCATTAAATACAGTTGGGATTGTGTAGTTCGTTACTGAAAAAATTGTTACCAATTTTTGCCCTTTTGATTGTTTTGTGGATTGCTTGTTCCTGCTGTTGATCACTTGTGACTGGTTTCAAGTGGGCTGACAGTACTTGATAGTCCTATTGCCAAATTTTGTGTGTTAATTAGAAAAGGCTTCCAGGTTAGATCAAAGGTGACTGTTATTTTTATGGTGGCAATACAGAGAGTAAGAACAGCATAGGAGGCAGAAAGCCAAGTTTGTTTTAATATTTAGGCATGTTCTTTAGAAATCCAAGAAAAAGAGCACCATCTGTGCCCTCATAAATGCTGAGTGTGCCCTGGAGTGAATTGGAAACTATGGTGGCAGCATCAATGTTGATTACATGCAAGAAAATGTGGTTTGGGATAAAAAGCTTCGCTTTGCATTCTAACAACAGCCTTGGAAGCTTTTGTCTTGGCGGAGTACATGAACATATGCTTAGCCTTGAGCATGGAAAAAAACATTGGCTCTAATAAAACTATAAGCACATTTAAAATTAAATGTGCTCTCTAATGCCATGCTAGATAACTTAACCTCTGCCTTATTGGAAACTCTTCTTATAACTAATTATTTATCAATAGTAATTTGTTTTAAAGAAGCCATTTGTGGTGAAAAAAGCTTGCCACATGTGCGCTATCCTTCTTTTGGACCCTAAAACTTTTAAAATGGAAGTTTTAAGTTCCCAGATTTTTAATTTTTTTTTCCTTTGGATCATAAATACTATGGAAATTGAATGCTTTCTGTTCACTTGTTTATGGTCAATTAAAAATCTGTTAGGGAAAATATCCTGTGTTTTTACAGGCCCTTTTGCAGGACTAAGGAGTGGTAGTAAATTGATCCTTGATGGAAGGTTTTATTTTCGTCTTTTGCTTCTTGGTGATTACATGTAGGATTTTTAAAGTCAGTAATCAAATAGACTATTAGATTGTCTGTCTGAACCTGAAAACTGGGAGGTACACAGTGATTTTTTTTTTTTTGTGTAGGCCTTTGAATTATTTTGCGTTTTATTCAAAGAGATCAGGCTTTCTATCCTTCCTACAGCTGAGAAGTATAGTTGGTTAAAGAAAATCACAATCGTAATTATTTAGAAACTTCTAATTTATTTTCTTTTCCTAGTAAAAAACAAGCCCAAACCAACAAATCAAACAAACAGCAATTTCAGAAAGAAAAATATTTTTGTTATATTGTATAAATCTGATCTGGTGGACCAAGCAACTGCAAAATGGAAGCCAAAGTCTGAGATCTAGGCAAGATGCTGCCACTGACTCACTGTGAGTCTTTGAGCAAATTCTTTCAAGGCAAAGGATTTATTGATGCCCAAGTTGTGTAACTCGGTGTAATGTTCATGGAACACCATAGAGTGGAACTGTAAATTGGCCCAGGATTCAACTCAGACTATGCTGTTTGGCTGCTTGCAAATAAATGAACTTTAAAACCTCTGATATCCTGAGTTTTATTGCTGAATGTCAGTTGACTTAAAAATAATAGTTCTGTATGCTGTTATCTGATGTAGTTCCATTGAACACAGAAGACCTTAATCCTGCAGAGCATGAGCAATAGTTTTTCCATGAGAATCAGGAGGGTGATGTGCAGGCAGGTAGGGCCACTTGCATCTGTGTAACTGAAGCAAAGAGACCCAAGATTTCTTCCCGTTGCTTGTTTACTTCATGCAAGGACAGCCTTTTGCCTGGGGACCCTCATTCTTTTTTCCTAAGCTGAGGAAAGCATAGTTGTAAAACTCCAAAATCTCAAGAAGGAAGTTTAAAGTCATGTGTTTTTGGAGGTAAGTATTTATTACTTGAATTAATTTAAAGGTGATAGGGTATCTTTCTGGCTTGTATAACAGCCTGTGATAAGCCAGTTCACCCTGTGCAGAGTGGCACTGCAAGACTTAACAGTTATAAACATCAACCACAGCATGAGTTTCTGGTTTTGAAGATCAAAACTTCTGCCATAGTAAGAGTTAACAAAAGTAATGTGTGTCTGTTTCATTGGGAGATGACTGTTCTGGTTTTTCTGCCCTAGTTTGGATAGCTTTATGCCTTTGTCAGGAACATAAATCTTCAATATAGTCTTATAATTCCTACGAAAAACTACAGCTGTTGGCAACAGAATTCCCTTCTTTCTAGGAACAGCGAACAGCAAACAGCAACAGTTACCCAATATTTTTTGCACTGAATAAGAAAATACAAGTTTTGATGGTGTTTGTTTATCAGATTGTTTTTGTAATCTCTCTCCGCTTGGGAATTTCTCAGCCCAAGTATTGTATTTCTCCCCATAATACATGTGCTGTAAAATAATTTACTTCTAAAAGTGTTTGTACTGCACCTCTTTGTAGTATAGATGACTTCTTCATTCCACAGGAAATTGCAGCATACTGAGAACAAAAAAGTGAGATACGGTGTTTGCCAAAGGAATCCTGGAGCAACTGCTTCTATCTGGCAAATGTTAGTGAATTTAGGGCATCAGAACTGCCATGGGAAAGTTGTACTCTCACAACTAGGCAGGGAATATTTTCTAATGCATAATTTTGTTGTGGTACCTAGTAAACATTAGTGTCCTGCTAGACTTGGGTGTTCATTTGAACAAATTTTAGTCTGGTTGAGGTTTTTCCCTGGATGTGTGGGGAGTGTGTGTTGTTGTACAGCTATAGAAAGCTTCATGTTGTGTAACCCTTTGGATGAAGCATGCAAATACAAAACAAAGCAAAACATGTACTTATGCCGAGAAAGCCAGACCTCCTTCCATACCCTCCCAGCTTTCCTAAAGTCCTTTTTCCACAGCTGGGTTGTGGATTTCGTAAGAATTTGGATTCACATGCAGAAGCATTAGTACATGGGTAGTTTTAGTATCTCTTCTTACCTTTTGTTGGCTGCTTCCTGCTTTCTTCCTATCCTGCTTCCTCTCCCATCTAATGCAGTAAGGAAACAGCCTGATCTCTTGCCTTTTCCATTTAGATGTCAGATAGGAAAAGCAGCTGAGGAATCCCTTTTCTCTCTCTAAAATGGTGGACAGAAAACTGTAGTTTTTTTTCCTTTCTTCTCTTTCCCTCCCCTCTCTTGTATAGTCCAGTGGCAGAAGGGGGAGTTTCCTCCCATGTATGTCTGAAGGAAAGGGATGGGCTTAGCAGCCTTGGCCTCGCTTGGTTGACCTGGAGATGAAGGAATACCCTTGTGCTACATCCTAATGCCTGGAGGCTATAGGAAATGTTCTCTGGTTATCTGGAGCAGTTCAAAGGCATCCTTGTAGGAGAATTTCCCAAACTCTTTTCCACATTCCCATCTCCCCTGAAAATCGGGTGTTACATTTATGGCTTTGGCTGTGTTCCTGACCGCAGTGAGATCTGTGAAGTCTGGCAGTAAAGGTTTGTGCACACGCTCAATATTAACCATATGCATCACGACATGGACAAGTAATTGACATCTTTGGTACTATGGAGCATTCTATGTATTTTTAGTTTAATGTGTGTATGGATGTTTTTCCTTGTTTTTCTTTCAATTTAAGGAGTATCTTGCTTTCTTTTTTTGCCATGTTCATAAGTAGCTGGCTTTATGCTGTTTATGTCATACATTTTCACTTTGAGAAGCCTGAAT